CACCACACCCACGGCACACGAAGAGGCAATGGTCACCTGGATGACCCTTCTTGCCGCACTTCTCACACGTCAACCGCTTCCAGCAGCCGAGATGCGAGTGCTTCTTGGATCCGCAGTGCGTACAGCGGCTTCGGTCGGATCCGTCAGCGTGGATCTTGGATCTCTGATCGCGGGAGGTTGGATCTTGCTGCTGCCGGTCTAGAGGGTTCCGTTCCAGGGCTTTCGGCTCTTCTTCGACTGGTTTCGCATGGTCGTGGGAGGCAGACAAAAATAGATCATGCGGTATTCGTCGCACTCGGAGTCCGATCCATCGCTGGATCCAGACTCGGATCCCGAGTCAGGTTGGATTTGGATCGCACGCACATATTTGGCTGGAGCGGCCGGCGCAGGCGTCGCTGGTGCCTTTTGTCGGTACTTGCGGGATCCATACGCGGACTTCTTCTGTCGGTTCTTCGCCTGATCCAAGGCACGAAGGACTTCTTCCAACTCGTCAGCATCCGGCAGTCGGAGCAATGCCAGCCGATCCGCCAGATCCTGATCGCCCAGAGTCTCAATGAAATGGTCCACATGCTCGCACTTCTCCTATTGCGTGTGGATCGAGGTAGTTGGCGGTACCAGTTCCGCGCCGATCCAGACAGCAGATCCGCGAAGGTCAGGCACTTCTCTTCGTCAGGTGCTTGATCGCGGAGGAACGCAGACTTCACCTTACTGACCCAAGCTCTCGCTCGATCCTCGTCTTGATCCTTGCCAGAGAACTCCTTCAGATCCGAGACCGCTGAGATCCGGACTCGTTGGATCATGTGGATCCGGTCGCGGTGGTGACTACTGTAGCGCGTGCTGGGGCCGGGAAGTCAATGTCGTCAGGGTCGAACTCCCAGTGTCGATCCGGATCCGACGATCCAGTGGACTCCATCTCGACATCTCGGGATCCATGATTCTGAACCGCCCCCGGTGCCATGGCTGGGGTCAAAGCTCCCTGCTCCTTCAAGAACCTGTTCATAGCTGCCTGGAAGAACGACTCCAACCTGCCAGTCGACATGTCAGATCCTGATGCCGTCGCTGTTGGATCCACTGATGGAGCTGACTGCTTCTTGGATCGAGGCTGGGATCGGGGCTGAGGACTCGCTTCACGTTGGATCTTGGCTCGGGCTCGTAGCATCGAGGCTTCCGATGGTCCAAGTGACATGCATCGCGGCTCCGAAGAGGCGTCCGACCCAAGCTCTGCAGCCGAGACATAAGGTGACGACGTCCGACATTCTGTGGATCCTTCTTGTAGTGATCTTGGATCCGGGATTGGGGGATCCGGCTTCGGCTGGATTTCGCCTACCAGCACCTTCAGCCGGTTGAACAGCATCTCCGTCGTGGCACGGAGTTGGATCGGATGGATCTCGTACATGACGGATCCATGATGCCTTGGATCCATCCTGAACCGAGGTTTCTGGATCTTCGTCCTCCAGCTCCGGGGCCTTCATCTTCCTTCTCGTAGCGGTCTTCTTCGTCTGGGTCTTGTCTGGATGGAAGATGTAGGGCTCTTGTTTCACTGGAGAGTCAGCAAATGCATACCGATCCTGGCCAGCCTTGGTTTGTTTTGTTAGTGGATCTTGACTTTCGTCGCGATCCACCGGGGTCCTCGAAGGGACCTGTGGAGGAGGTTGAGGTTTCTCTCCTGGATCCATGTCTGGATCCACCTCGGTTCCGCCGACAGAGGTCCTCCTTGCACTCTGCCGATCCGTGGATCTTGTTTCATTCAGCAGCGTCGTCGTCGATCCCGATTCCGAAGACGCTTGATCCCCTTGTTCCTTCTTCACTCGAACTTCTTCTTGGGACTCACGGTGAAATCCCGAGTCACCAGAAGATCCGGGTACGCGCACCATTGTGGTGTAGCGGGATCAGCAAAATCTGCGAGATTGCCAATCCAACTTCCCAACTGCGCCCGAACACCGACTTACGGAGGGGGTCCCCCGATGATCCGTGATCTGTGTGCTGAACTTGGTCACCTTGTGTACCCGTCGGTAGGGCTGGATCTTGCTCCTCTGGTGTCTTCCGAAGCGTCCGAGCCTTGACGAGAGAACAGTCTGGGCGAGACGCGGGGATGTGGGTGGAGCAGCGTGGAAATCTTCACTCTGCTCGCGGTAGTATTCCAAATCCAGTAGTCTTGTACTTAGATCTGGCGGCCTGGATCTGGATCCGGCCGGATTGTTGCCTTTTGAGGTTGTTGTCCTTTACGTTGCCTTCACAGGTCTTCCTTGGTCGTGTTTGCCGCCTCCAATGACGGTGTCGTTGACAGTTGAGACGAGAAGGACGCACCGGCCAAACAGATAACTCCGGTGGATCTTGGATCTGCACTTGCAGGTAGTTCACTAGGAAGGTCTTGGACCTGGCCAATATATTACTCCAGTCTTACAACCAACACTAGATCTGCTATCGCTAACCTCTCTACGCCATGTAGGACCAATGTCGTTCCCGTTTCCAGGCGAGGGAGGAAGCGCTTGCGATGTACAAGGCAAATTCTGGTCTGATTTATGCTTAAGTTCATTCCTATCCCAAAGTCCTATTGCCATGTGGCTCCTATCATCCGATCGGTTCCTACCGACTCTATGGACTCCCTTTACCTTCATTGCGTGTCAGCTGCTTGCCCGTAGGGTCGTGTCCACAGCCTCTTGATTACGCCTGGATCTTGGATCTTGGATCTCTGTCGACGTAGATCCCGATCCATCTGAGTCCGGATCCAGCTCCATCTGATTCATGGATCTTGGATCTTGGATCTCCGTGGGCGTAGATCCAGATTCATCTGGATCCATCTGGGCCTGTCACTATTCCGCATCTGTGGCGAGGTCCAGATCCATCAATCGTCCAATTACTTGCCAGTACGGCAAGGTCGAAGATTAGATCTACATGGTACTGCCTGAAGGACTTCGAGAACTCCTGGATGTGGCCGAAGCTCAAGGTGAAGATGACGTCGTCTGTCTGTTGCTGCAGAGCCTGTATGGACGCAAGCAAGCGTCTCGCGTATGGAACGGGACGATCGACGCGCATCTCAAGAGCATGGCATTTCGTGCTGCCGACGCCGATCCGTGTGTCTACACGAGAGGTGAAGGTGACGACGAGTGTATTGTGTGTCTCTACGTGGATGACATGCTGATTGCACCTCGCCAGCGGACCGTCATTGATTCGGTGAAGACAGGCATCGCGGCCAAGTTTCGCATCAAAGACCTCGGACGCGCTCGGTTTATCCTGGACATTTGAAATCGACTACGACATGGAGCGCAAGACCCTGGGCATCTGCCAACGAACGTATACCACGTCGATTATCAAGAAGTTCGGTCAAGAAAATGCGAAGCCGTGCCTCACCCCGCTCGACCCAAGTATTCAGTTGACTAAGACGGACCCCAGACCGAGGCGGACAAGGCCACGATGAAATCGAAGCCATATCGCTCTCTCGTGGGAAGTCTGATGTACCTGGCGTGTGGAACTCGACCCGACATTTTGACAGCGGTGGCTAAACTGAGCCGCTTTCTGGAGAACCCCGGTGAGAAGCACTGGGATGCTGGTATCCGTGTGGTACGGTACCTGTCGAAAACCAAGAACCTCGGAATCGTCTATGATGGCTTGCTTGGCACGGAGCTCCTCGTGTATTCGGACGCCGACTGGGCTGGCAACCACGACGACAGACGCTCTGTAAGCGAGATGATGCTGATGATGTGTGGTGCTCCCGTGGTTTGGCGCTCGACTTTTCAGAAGACGGTTGCGCTAAGTTCGACTGAGGCGGAGTACATGGCGCTCAGCGAATGTGTGAAGGAGGTGGTGTGGATGCGACTACTACTCAAGGATTTGGGTGCGGAGCAGGATGGACCTACGGTGATCTACGAGGACAACCAAGGTGCCATGGCGTTGGCGAAGAATGTCGGCTACCAGGCTCGCACCATGCACATCGACATCATGTACCACTTCATCCGCGAGAAGGTCACGAGTAGTGTCGTGGAGCTCGGCTACATTGAGTCCAAGAACCAGCTCGCTGATTTCCTGACGATTGGGGAGACTCTTCGCTACCTGCTCGAGCGCAGTAACGCCACGGACACGCTCGAGTAGACTGCGAATTGAGTGGGGTGTTACGATTGGACACTTCGCAGTCTAGTTGTGTGACTCCGCATCGAGGCACGTGCGGCTGTGGAGTTGTTTGCATGGGTGTACAATTGCAGCGGAGTGCTGCAATGTGATTGGTCGGTTTGCCGGATTTGGCGATTCTGATTGGCCGAGAGGAGGTCAAGTTGAAGTTGCCGTTTTCATAATATCTGCAACAACCGACATTTTCCCTGTGCACCCCTTAATGAACATGGTTGAGTTAGAAGCTGGGATTTCGTGTACTCGTTGGTAAGACATGATAGGACAGACTCTATAAGGTAGTTTTGATAAACTCAATATAATTCAGTTTCGGATATCCTTTCTAACCAACACGCGACTACCAAGCCTCGCCCGCATAATCTCAATTGTCAATTATGCCAGTAGCAAAAGGCAATAAGAAAGTAGGATGCGCCCGAGAAGTTCAAAATATGACGCTGAATGCCGTAGATGCAGTGCTCACTCCGAGTGTGACTGGCGTTAAGGATGTTTTTAACGTTATTGAATACGCTCAGTCTACGTTGCGACAGGCAAGGTAATCGCACGGTAACTTGGTAAGACGTCTTTCATTAGTATTTACAGCAACTATCATACTGGGAACCCCCGAAGAATGAGGGGGTGCTCCCAACGGATTAATACTGGGAACACCCGAAGAATGAGGGGGTGGACAGCTCCCAACGGATTAATTGGACGCGTAAGCGTAACCTGGCGCAACCTTCGTGCTACACCATCCAGAAGGATGTTGACCGAACAGGTTCAACGGCAACTACAGACTGAGGCAGGAAATGCACGTCAACAGTAGCACGCTTCGCGCGCGAGGTCTCTCAGCACTGATCAATGTTCAGTAGCACGCTTCGCGCGCGAGGTCTTAGATGTACTACGCGAGCAGTACGATCTCGTCACTAATATGGAATTTCTTCTTAGTGAAAGAGCGTCTCGCTCATAATTAACATACTCGCCCTAATAAAGTCCGGACTTTATTTTATAGTACAGGCCTAAAAAGCTTGATTATCAGATATTATATCAGCTCTAAAAAATATATCTTGGATTTTGTATGTATATGTACAAACCGTTAACTACCGGTATTTGTTGCGATAGACTTATATTCGGGAGGGGGCTTATATTCGGGCGAGTACGTTAGGAGTCGGCGAATCGAACGTTAGGTAGCTCACAAATGGTAATGTTGCTATCGCTGTATAATATAGCTATATATTTATTATATTGTTAAAATTAAAGCGTTAACTTTTGCTTGCCCTTCCATTGCTCAAACGCTGATGTTTCTCCATCGAGTGCGTAGGGCGGTAGCTCGATAAACCCAATAAGCCGCTGCATCTGGTGCCTACACAAAGTTACGTCAGTGTGTATACTTTGTATGTGTATACTTTGTATCGTAAAGAAGCACAACGTAGAGAAGTGAGCTCCCGAGGACATGCGAGATTTCTTTCATCTGCTTCTTAGTATGTACAGTTCAACTCCGTACACATGTATAACCAATTTGTCGACTGCTGCCAATATCATAGCAGAGCCCCACGAAACATGCCAATACGACGATTACTAGCTTCATATCCGAGGCTTACTACTGCAACTGAAAGAATTGGAATCAGGTTATACTTGCTCTGATCGTGCACGTGGTCTACCTTCTTGAACGACAGCTTCCGCGTCTTTGAGACGAAAGCCCGCCCTCACGGTCGAACTCCTGAAAACGCCGCCCGTACATGTGCCAAAGTTTGTCTGCTCCGGGTTGGACACCTCTTGGCGCACGTACAGCCCCGCGTAGCACGCGTCAGCCGCCAGCGTAGGCTTGATGAGGCGCACGCGAAATCCTGCTGCAGGTTATGACTGTGGTTGGCTGCGTGCTTCAGGCGGAGCTGGTACCGCCACACGCCGAGCGACGCTGCTGCTACATAGCGTGATAGGGTCATGAGGGCAGCGTGGAGCTTGGAGCAATGGCCACGCACCATTCGACGCTGGGTAGACCTAGGCTAGCTCACTGGCATTAGTATAGAGTTTGATCGTGGCCGGCCGTGAAAACTGCACAGACCGCTCTGCACAACAACAACAGCAACAACAACGGCACAATGCGCAACACGTCAGTACAGTCGGTGTATATCGGGTCCACAGTGGCTGCGAATGAGCTGCTACTGAACCGGCAGTGATATTCCGTACGAATACTACGCACCTCAAAGGCCGATGGCAGTGACTGCGGGTGCAGACGGGCGTCTGGGGGTACGAGAGGTTGCTGACACGTCGATAAGCACCAAGCGACCCCATCCGCGACAGTCGAAGCGCTCTTGCAGCTCGGTTGGAGGCAGACTTGGCTACGACTCGCAGCTGGGTCGACGTGTAGCCGCCCGATACATGATCTCAATTGCAGCACTTCCTGGACGCCATCACGCAAGCCACGTGCGACCCTGCTGACGATGAGTTAATACCGATATATCTTATGAAAGTATACAATATGCGTTAACTATCCATCATTTCTGTTCTATTTCTATCGTTTCTAATTGGATAGTAAAACGAAGTCGGGTGCCGGCACCTCATGCCCCATATTTTGTGATTGACTCTCATTGGTGTAAAAGCAAGCACCTTATCAGCATAAATAGCTCTGCGACTAGTCGTTGGTATACAAATCGACACTTAATCGCACGTAATAACGTACCGTTGAGCTGCGATCAAGTTTTGGGTTAGCACCGGTTTACACCGGTTTAGACTGTTGCCTAGCATTTCTTTTCTTAGCCATTAACTTAAGCCGGGC